AAAAAAAAAAAAAATTTCTATTTTTTAAAAATTTATTTAGAAGTGGACATAGCAACCAAGTAAAGAGTCCCACTCATTTATAACTAAGATCTTCTGCCTCTTGGCTGCAGATGATCTTAGTGGCAAGGGATGATCTAACAGGAAAATGTCACCTTCTTGAATGTGCAATTAAGACTCTTCTTTACTCTGTGTGAAATTGTTCATTTTAGGATGTTGTATGGGTTTGTTCGTATCACCCAGAGTTGACCCTGGTTGGTCTTGTCAAGAAAGGTGTCAAGCTTTCCTGAATGGCAGCCCCAGTTACACATAACAGGGCAGAGTTAAAGTGTGGAAATAAATGAAGGGTTTCTGTCCATGTTCTCTTTCCGTAGTATTGGTTTTCTTTTGCTGCCATAACAAGTGACCACAAACTTAGTGGCTTGAACCAACACCAATTTATTATGTTACAATCTGTAGGTCAGAAGTCTGATACAAGTCTCCCTGGGCCAAAATTAAGGTGTCAGCAGGGTTGCTGTAGGGGAAAATGTGTTTCCTTGCCTTTTTCACCTTCTAAAGTTGTGGTGTGGCCCCCTTGCTCCATCTCCAAAGCCAGCAACGTCCTACCTCCCTGTGTCTTTCTTCCATAATCACTTCTCCCTCTGCTGAAGCCGGCAAGGCTCTCTGCTTTTAAGGACCCGTGCACTTACATCGGCCCAATGTAATCTGGGAGAACCCTCCCAGGGTCCCTAAGGGAATCACACCAGCAAGGTCTCTTGGCGATGTAAGGTAACATACAGGTTCCGGGGATTATGATGTGGACATTTATGGGAGAACGTTACTTGGCCTTCCACACCCCAGGCCTTGTTGTTCTCCAAATTAAGCAGGACTTGAAATTCTGAAGACTTTTATACAGCCCTCTGAGAAGCACTTGTTAAGCAGATGTAATGAGATGAGGGCACAGAATGGGCCCCTTGGTTTTCTGTGGAATTCAGAGATGAGGCCGAGCATCTCAGGGACTGAGTGGACTCGCAGAGATGAGGCCGAGCATCTCAGGGACTGAGTGGACTCGACTTGCCTGGTTAATATCGCGGGTAGGTTCCTGGGGAAGCCGACTCTGGGACAGGGTTTGCCTGCAGGGCATTTACCAGGGCATGCGCTGGGATTGACACCTGTGGGGGAGTGAGTGTAGCAGGGCCAGGCAGATGCAGTCACAGCAGAGTTTCCTGCCATCCTACTGGGCAAGGGACCAGGCCTTTGCACCCCTGCATGAACCGACCATGGCATGTGGGCTACCCCAGGAAGGGGGCAAGACCTTGGTCCAGGTGATTCTCTTCAGTTGCAGGCAGCTTCCTGAGAGGGACTCAGCTGAAAGCTGGCAGATGCCAACATTCCCAGCAGCTGGGGAAGGAAAGCTACAGTCCTGAGAGAATAGGCAGTAGGAGCTGGGGAGGGTTGGAGGGACTGTCTGGCTGGCCACAGCGTTCACTACAGTTAACAGCAATCGAATGTAGCAGGCAGGTCAGCTGCCCAGTGGGATGAGACAGGCTTTGGGGAGACAAGTCCAACTGCAGGCAGAGACAGGTTCCAGCCCAGCAGGCAGGAGGTGGGATTAGGGCAGCCCCAGGTTGGCCCCAGGTGGGCAGAGGTTGGGGTAGAAGAGGCAGAAGTGGACAGTGTGACCTGATTTGGTAGAGGTTGGAAATAACGGACATGTGTCAATAGAGAGCAGGGTCCCAGGCCCAGGACTGTGGTTCAGGAAGAAGCTTTTTGCCCAGGATGTGGCTGGGGCCCAAATGTGCCTGGGCAAGGCTCTAGTTCTGGAGGGTTGCAGAGCAGGACCTCAAGCTCAGGGAACATGGCAATATCAGGGCAGGGATGAGGCACCAGGCATAGTGTTGGCGGGAGCAGCAGCCTGGTGGCAGGGGAAGGGTCCCTGATGGTAGTTGGAGCTTTTGCTGCTCCATCCCCTCTGGGTCTAAGTCAAGGGCCTGCTGAGTCAGGCTTCATTTGGGGGGAGAAAAGGGAGACGGAGGCTGGAAACCAAGCTGAATCTAACATATAACTCACTTTTCTCCTCAGTGTATGACAGACTTGTCTCCCCCAAAGATTTTTAAATATTTTATTGTTTCCCCCTCTCCCCTCCTCCTAAGACAGAATAATAGGCATCATTACCGATGATCTAGGAAAAGCTAAGGAAGTACTCTTTCCTCTGACTCAGGAAGACTATGAAGATGTTTTATAGGAACATAGTCGATTGTATAAAATTAAAGTGTTTGTTCTTTGTTTTAGAATAAATATTGCCATTCTTATTTGCCTTCCCTTTTTGGTTGGAGGAAAGGTTTCTGTAGTTATAACATCTCCTCTACAGAGAGGGTTGCTCTGTGCATCTGCACCGACCACTAGAACAGAAGGGAAAAAGCTCTGACTGTGTGTGTGTGTGTGTGTGTGCGAAAAACGTGACAAACACTAAGTGCGGGTCTGGCAGGCAGCTTGCTTGTTTCCACGGTATCCACAGTCCATTAGGTTAATTCACCCTCCAAAGAAAAATGGCTTTACTTGAAATGTCTTGTCTAACACATTGATCAGAATGATTAGGACATTTATACACCAATGTGGTTTTCTGGAGGGGACCTAGAGGACTCTGTTTTCCAGCCTGGCTGATCGGACCTTGCTTTCCCGATGAACGGCACTTAGGCAAATGGACTAAACCATCCCTCTGAACAGGAGCCTCATCTCCATTCCTTTCAGGCCACTTATTTTTTTTCCAACATTTTTCTATGTCTTTCTTCATAATTTTTTTCCTTTTCCTTTTGTTAGTATTTCTTGTCCTCTTTAGTCAAGAAATATTTGCTGAGTGTGGTTGCATGCCTAGGACGCTCGGTGCTGGGTAACCAGGGGTGCTATTGTCTCGTGTCAGGGCCAAAGATAGTAATTTCTGCATGTTTAAATAAGCAACATGAGATAAGAAATAAAGACGTTTGCCCTATCTGTCGTGTGTAGTTGTATGCGTATACTCTTTCTTGAGGCAGGCTTAGATCTCTTATAATTTGTGCCTTTTCCCTCATAAAATTTTTGCTTCAAAGGTACAAAAACAGTTGTTGTTATTATCACTTACATAAAAAGAACCCCCAGAAAGTCGGGTTCGTGAGGAAGAATGATCTGGAACCAGGCTCTCGGGTCTTTGAGTACTTTCTACTCCGGGAGCAGGGCTTCCCTGCCGGGCTGTGGCTAACACAGACAGTGGCTCTCCCACATGCTCATTCCTTTGCATATCACAACTGTTGGGAGGCTGCGCGTCATCTTCCCCATCCTCGTGACCCCCTTGCCAGGGACCAGGCTGTCGGGATGGCTCTGATCCCGATGTCACTCACGGTGCCTACTGCAGGTGCAGGTCCAGTTTAGCTAGAAATGAGCATTGATCTGATTCCTTTGCATGGGGACAGAGATGATGACATTTGGGGCAAGGAGAGTTTTGCTCAGAACCATCAGTGTTGTCACTATCAGGGCTGAATTAAAGCTTTTCAAAAGCCATAAACACTGAGAAGTTTATGTGGTCAACCCCCTTCCTCATCACCACATGTAATTTATATATCAAAATAAACTGTAAAACACAAATTTTTACTTTTTCCAGTTGCAGAATTCTGAATAAATTCATTGAGGCTGAACTTTTCTCACTTTTTAAGCCCCTTCCTTGCTGCTGCCCTAGACCTTGTGTGGTCTGCTCGGGGGAGTTCCATGGTCTCACTTGTGGAGGTTGTTAGGACAGAGCCAAACTGCAGCCACTGCCCTGCTGGCCTCTTCTGTGACCCTCCTTGGAAATGGTTCTCCTCCAGTGTGAGAAATGCCTCTGTCATCGTTTTAGAGCTGCTGCCACCACTGTGCTCCATTCTCCAGAAGGTGGCAATGGGGAGGATGGCTGCATAGCCCCCTCTGCACCCTACATCCTGACCAGCAGGCTTCAGACTTTTAGAGGGTGACCTCCACGAAGATCCAGGACTTATGCATGTGTGCATGTGTGTGCATGCCCACACATGCACAGATGGATATTTCACCAAACGTACTTACTCTGACCATGTGCAGTGCACTCTAGTCTATCCCACTCTGTGGTTTTATTCTAGCATATTTCACTCAAATCATGCTTCTTGACCACTCCCTTGATTTTATGACCCACGTGTGCACCTTGAAACCCAGTGCTCCACACCCCAGCACTCTTAGTTACTCATTGCTGCTGCGGATGCTGGGTTCTCCCACATGCTTGCCTTCCTTCCTGTTGCCCAGAGTTCCTCTGCCCACCTCCAGCCATGAGCCTATGAAATGCAGACAGCCATCTCCCCGGTACTACTCAGGCACACGTGCCTTAGGATCCCTCCTGACACCCCTGATGGTGACCTAGTGCCTTCCCACTATTCCCACTTTCTTCCTGTGACTCCAGCTCTTCCTGCCAAGTGCCAAGTTCACATTCCTTTCTTGTACACTGGTCTGTGAGCTCATGGAGCTCCAGGTCTTATTGATCTTTGATCTTGTCTCTTGTGCATCTGGTGCTAGTATGTGGCCCACAGTGGGCACTAAATCAGCGTTTCCAGAACTGCATTAAAAAATGCCCTTGAGTGGAGGAGCCAACCCCACCTGCCTTTAAACCCAGGCACATCCACTTTAAGGTTTCCATGCGTGTAGTGTCTGCATGAGCCTCATTCATTATTTATTTGTCACATACTAAAGCCCCTCCACAAGAAGCATCAGAATGACTGTTTTCAGTAACCCAATGTTTAGATGTAGAGTTCAAAGATAAATGGAAACACTGTTGTTTCAAGTAATGGACTTCTAACAACTTTTTTTTAGATGTATAAAAGTATGCAAAAATAGGTGCTTTTCAAGATAATGCTTTTATCTTGTTAGTGTTGATTATAGTCAATCTCTTGGTAAACTGTATTCTAGAATTTTACTGGCTATGTACAGGAATCAATCACTTTTACTTCTGATCATATAAGGGTAGAGCTGGGGAAAATCCCCCCATTTTACAGGTGAGGAAACTGAGGCCCAAGAAGCAAGATGACTTACACAAGATCACACAGCTTCATGACAGCAAAGGCAGGGTGAGCCGCTCACCTGCTCATTGCTAGTCTGGAGTTTTCTCCACCGGATCATCGCTTCTTCGTGTAACCAAGGTAACGAAGGGGCATGTGCGGTTCCTATCCTCCTGTCAACAAAACCTGTCTTCAACGTGGAATTCTTTGGACAATTTCTTGCTCTAAGCTTATGTTTCTTTCTTAGGAAAAGCGATGGGCAGATCACTATTTGAGCCCTCATTTGAAGATGTTAATATTCTCGGGCTGGCGATGTGTATACCATTGCTTTCTGAACTGGACCTGTTGCATGAACAATAAAGAATTATGCTAATTTTCACCTGAGTTCATAGAGTTGGCTTTATTTTAGAGCACTTGCTCTCATTAAAGATCTTAGCACATAAAAGGAAATGTAAGTAGAATTCCTAGCAAGCACTCTTGGATGGGAAAGAGGTTTTAAACAAAATTTCTTTGTTTTGTCCCTTTTAGCAAATACCATTTTGATGCGTCACAAGCTGGAACAAAAGTAAATAACCTGCGAGGTTATGAACCAAAGCATATATTTTGTGAAATTTGTGGTCATTTAGTTGGTTAGAATGGAATTGTCACTGAAGGGATTTTTTGGGTTTTTTTCCCTTCCATTTTTAGCCCTTATACAACCTACGTATCTAGGAAAGGGGAAGAGAGTCGATTTCTTTCTTCTCTGCACCATGAGTCCACAGCTCCTAGGACCCTGCACTATTGTCTCTTCCTTAAGGATTAAAAAAGGGTTTGGAGTTGGCCTGAGAACTCTGTCTTCATTTGTCACATTGTTTCTGTGGGAAAACACATTCCCTGTTTCAAACAACCAACTTACAAATTAACTTTGGGGTGTGCCTATTCACCAAAAAAGAAAGCTCAATTTTTTTGAAGAGCTCATTAGCTCAGCAGAGCTCATTAGCTTAGCTTAGTTTAGCAAGTATGATCTCATTAGCTAATGTGACACCCTGACATAAACACTCAGCCACCAGTGTCAGGAAGAAGGAAAGGCTGCCGGAAAGGGGAGGGCCTCCCGGACCTCAGCACGCCGCCTGCAGGAGGGCAGACCTCCCACCCGGGCTCCTGCGAGACCACACCAGGGTGGCCTGCCTGCCTGCCACTGCCAGGAAAGGGCCTGTTATCCTGCTTCATCCTCACATGGCCCCGGTAGTTGGTACTGTCATTAGGTACACTTTACAAATGAGAAAACAGATGAAGTCATATACCATCAGAGCCTGATGTACATAAAAAGTAGTATTTGTCAAAAGTGGCAAAATGGCTCTTTTCTGAAAAAGAAAAAAGTTTATGTTCTCCCAAACTAATTTGTAGGGTCATTATTAAATATCCTTTGCTTTAAGACGCCCAATGCCGACAGAAGCCTTAGTAAATGTTTATGAGTTGCTTTATTGAGAGTGCCTTCCCATTTCCCTCAAAAGTACCATTTTAAGGGATAAAAATAGCTTTCGACTGTTTCCTAGTGGTAATTCAGAGCAGTAGCACTGTGCTTGGCTCATAGACACTACATGGAAGTTGGATCCTTTTCTCTGGTCAGATAACTTGTTTTCAAATACATTTTTTATTTTAGAATATTTTAGATTTACAGAATACTTATGAAAATAGGGTTATGTAACATTTTTGTTTGCGTGCTCATATTTCAGCTCTTCCTCGTACACTCTTTAGCCATTGGTATATTTTCTCATTAGGAGTCGAGTTAATGAGCGGATCCCCTATGCACTGCTGACGTTTCAGAGAAGAGCATATACAAGTAAATTAGAAGCAATGGATGAAAAAAGCCATTCTCTCAGGTCATCCCATGCAGAGCATTTACACATGTCTTCAGAAGTGACAGATTTCAACCTCCGTGGGAGAAGAGCCATGGAGCTGAATCTCTTCTGTTTTATTAATTTTTGCTGCTCATTAAAAATATATATTCTTTTTTTTTTTCCTTTTTGTCTTTTTTCGTGACCAGTAACGGGATCGCAACCCTTGGCGTCGCGCCCACACAGCGCTCAACCAGTGAACAGACCGGTCTCTATATGGGATCCAAACCCTTGGCAGGAGTGCCGCCGCGCTCCCAAGCGCCGCACTCTACCGAGTGCGCCACCGGGCCGGCCCAATATATATTCTTAATTAGAAAGAAAAAAGTATGTGTGTGTGTGTATATATATATGTATATGTGTGTGTGTTCTAAGTAGCTCAGGAATATTTTATGTTAGGGTCTGGATCCAGAAATGTGAAACAAGGAGAGAGAGAAACCCACGTGGGAACTTTTTTATACCACTAAGATCCAATGCAAAACCTTCCCCAGGTAGACTAAAAAATGGTGTTGTAATTTTTTTTTTTTTTTTTTTTTTTTTTTTTTGTCTTTTTTTCGTGTCCGGCAACGGATCACAACCCTCAGTGTCGCGCCCGCACCGGACCGGGACCGGCAACGGGATCGCAACCCTCGGCGCTGCGCCTGCGCCTCACTCAGCCAGTGAGCAGGAACCGGTCTGTATGTCGGATCCGAACCCTCGGTGGGAGCGTCGCCGCCCTCCCAAGCAGCGCACTGTAGCAGTGCGCCACCGGGCCGGCCCGTAATTTTTTTTTTTTTTTGTCTTTTTTTCGTGTCCGGCAACGGATCACAACCCTCAGTGTCGCGCCCGCACCGGACCGGGACCGGCAACGGGATCGCAACCCTCGGCGCTGCGCCTGCGCCTCACTCAGCCAGTGAGCAGGAACCGGTCTGTATGTCGGATCCGAACCCTCGGTGGGAGCGTCGCCGCACTCCCAAGCAGCGCACTGTAGCAGTGCGCCACCGGGCCGGCCCGTAATTTTTTTTTTTAAATGTTCTTTCCTCTTGGTGTGTGCTAATTTATTAGAAAACCTCTCCGAGGGTCTATATTAATAATAATGGTGATGATGATGTGGAATGTGTGTTGTGCAGTTAGTAATAAACATAATGCATATTTACATAGGGAACTGAATTTGAGCAATGATTTACTCAAGTATAAGTGATTTTTTATGATAATTGTCTAACAGTGCCTGTTACTTTACAAGTGAGATGGCAGTTAGTGCTTAGGTACAATGACTGGCTTTAGAAATAAACCACTATTCAAGCAAAGAAATTTTGTCCTGATTTTGTAATAATTCAGTGTTATGGAGGGGGTGTGCACTAACATGAAGAGTAGATCTCAGCTGGGGTATAAATTGAGAATTCTGCATGGTTATGCTTCATCCACCACCCCCACTCTGACCACCCCAATCCTTCCCTCTTTGTTCCCCCTTCTAAATAGGTGATTATTTGTTTGAGTTAAGCCTTATCCTTTTGAGGGTACATGCTCTTTTAATATTAATTCCCAGTGGGAGACGTAGTACCGTTAAGTTTGTATCCTGCCAGCTCCAGAGTGTGGATTAGTTTATCACTTTCTCACCAGGCCCAGGCTGTAAACAGCAGGGAGAGGACGGTGCAGAGATTAGGTGCTGAGAGGTACATGGGAAGGAGAAAGAAGGTTGACAGGATTCTGAAGTCAAAGTGATCCCCGTATCTGTTTGGACATTCCTGAGCCTGTGATGGGTCCTCGGGTATTACTATAAGTAGGATCATAATTATCATGTTGAGTTTATGATGTTGACAGATTAGGACACTGAATTAATATGCCTTTGGTTGAATACGATTTCAGAAAAATTTAGCTCAGAGAGTTAGATAGAATTTGTGTTGCTGAGATAGTGGATGGAATATTCCCAGCCTCAGAAGGATTATCTGTTTAAGCGGGGGTTCCCCAGCAGAGTCCCGACTGCTCCATCACTAACTTATATGGCAGCTTTCTGTAAATTTGAGAAAGTCACTTCTTCTTCAAGACGGTTTTATTTCCAGCTGTCAGAAAATTATCATTATTAAATATTTTTATTAAAACTAGGCATTTCTCTCTGCTGGAAAATTTTGAAAATAAAGATTTAGTTCTATGATGTGTACAATATAAATAATGCTCTCGTTCAGTGTACAAACTGCAACTGAACTTGCAGTCTTCCTTCCTTTTCTCCAGTCCTCCCCTCTGCATTTCTTCAGCAATGCCTCTGCCTGCCTGCCTGTCACTGGTCCCTACAACAAATGACCCTACAATGTAGGTAGTTCTGTGGCTCAGAGAGGGTGGGTGACCAGCTCACAGCCACACAGCTAGTAGGCAGCAGAATAAAGAGATGGTCTTAGGCCACTGGCTGCAAAGCTGCTGTCATCCCTGCTGGATCTCACCACACCAAGCAGCCTGTAGCCCCACCTCTGGGATTCGGGTGGGACCTTGCCGTCCCCTTTCCTGCATGGCCAATATGTACAGACAGCAGCACAGAGGTGGTCTCTGCATGGAGAACCCTCTACCTTGTAGGATTCATTGTGGATAAAGGTCCCGGCCATTTTATATTCTTCCTAGGTTTTGCTGAACTCCCTTTGTTAAGCCAAAATTTACTGGATGCAAGGAAACTTCCCAGCAGTCCCCTAGAAGGAAAATTAACTCTCAGTGTTCTTCCCATTATCAAATAAAATTCTCCAAATGATTTAGACTGCCCAGACCAAGTCACCTTTCATCTGAGAAGACACAGTAGCTTTCTTAGCACTAAAGGAAGTAAAAGAAAAAAAGGAAAGGTGCACTCCACTGAAAATTGCTGTTGGTGCTTTGGCCATGTGATCATAATGAACTTGGTGCCCCTTCACCTTCAAAAGGGGCAGAACAGGTGCTTATATATTCATTTCATGCTAGTCTGATGGGACAGACACTTCTGGTTTGCCTGTCCCCATGTTCCGTATTAGTTCCAGTTGATTAGAATGGCATGTGAACTTAGAACTGAAGAAACTATGGTTGAGTGGATCACTTGGCTGAGTAAACTCACCATTTACTTCTCAGAAATCAAATAGTCACGAAGCAGATTTTTAAAGTGTGAGTCCTCCGTGCTCTTGTAAGTACTGCTGTGTTGCTGGGACATATGAAACTCTGCCCTCATGAAATTATAAAGGCCAAATGTAGAAGTAAGCTTAAGAAGGAGTCAGATATATTCATGATGATAAATCTTTAAGAAGACATTTTGTTGGCAGGACATGATCTGTGGGGTGTATCTCTGTTTTATGCATCAGTTTTAGCTGGGATGATATTTCACTGTAGATAATAGAAACCCCAAATAACAGTGACTTAATCAAGATAAAAGCTTATTTTTTTTGTCTTACATAAAGTGTCACAGGTGGGCAGTCCAGGTGGCCCAGTGGCTTTGTCCACAAGGTCTTCAGAGACCCTAGCTTCTCCCTGCTCCCTTTTCCTTATTCTCTGGGATGTGATGCTTGTTCTTGTAGCCC